GTCGTTTAACTTCGTCTGTCCTTCTAACGATTAAAGTACAATTATCAATCAAAATATATAGATGTAGCATAGCTAAATTATTATCTAAAATATGCATCTTCACTTTTTACGCATCAATGACAAAACTCGCAAATTACATTTCAATTACGATAAACTGATTCAAATTCTGCAGCCGTCGAAAAAACGCCATTAAACCGTTCCACGATTAAGCATTCATAAAAGCTCTATTTTATCAAAACACATTAAAATTAAATTATAGTGTCATCCATCAAAATAATTTAATATGCTCGAGTGTGGCCCCCTCCCCGGCGCGGCGGCCGCGGCCTCTGACCCGTGTGCTGCGTTTGCGCTCCTATCAATAGTCATCTACACAAGTTTAAACTGTCGTTTATCTTATCTGTGACGTCATTAGGGGCGCCACAATCTTTGTTAGTAGTTTCGAGTTCCATTTTGGTAACGAAAACTTTTTGCGTTTTTAGTAATAGTACCACTGGCCAAAACACTAGCAGCCATGCTGAAACTGATACAGAAAAGTACCGTAAGTATATAGAAAATATAGAAACAAATTTTAATTCTATTTTAGTTTTAGTGCAAAACGATAGTAAGAAACTTCAACAAAACTAATCAACAATAATAATTTTACGAATTCTCCAGAGATGCTCACGGTTCTTTCCAAAACGTGTCTCTATAATTTAAGATGTCTATTTCTTTAAACCAGTGAGCATTTTTCTATTTCTGGAGCGTGATGTCATACCATCAAGCAGCGGTGATGAGACAATATTTGTAGTCCGGAGCATTGATCAGAAGGACCAAAATACCCGTATGTCTCTGAGTACGCAGGAGCACACTCCACGTATTATAAGGGACATCATGCAAGTTCTAACATACTGCAGCTTGAGTTACTGCAGTGATGAGCCCATTGGCACTACTGTCTGGGTATTTATTCCACAAGAGATCGCCGGTACTCTCGATATCTTCCGAAGGACAGATTAGCGTCGACCACCACTCTTACTATTCTATCGAACTAACAAACGAGAAGAGGTATGTATTGGTGACGTTGTGAGAAAAACAGAACGACAGCTCACAACTAATTCAATCCAGCTTTATTACAGCCATAAAAGGAATGATAACGATACATTCTGATTTGCATTTTAAGTACGCGAGAAGGAATTATGATATGCAATAAGCGGGCTCGTTGTTATGATCGTTGTATATCACTGGTTATAATAGCTGTAAAGTTTTAAGGCTCCGGATAGTGACGAACGAACCATTTATATGGCAGGATTAAGTACCTATACACTTAGAAGGTTACTTTTTACAGTCTTTTTTAACCAAAAGCCTATTTCATATCTTATTGCTGGGCAAAGACCTCCCTCGAGTGGCAGTTAAATCACCTTAACCATAAACAATTATGATTTCTACTAGTTTAGAATAAAAGCGCGTAAATTATTTATCATAAATACATTGCGATGAAAATGATTTTCAATTAGTGCTTAACGAACTACTAGTGCTTAACGGTACGGCACGCTATGATGGCCGTTTTGACAGATTACAATATTGAGGTCAAATCTCAATTCATTATCGAAAAAAATATAACAAAAACAATAAAAATAAAAATAAGTTTTTAGATTTATAACTAGTATTGCAAGGGCTAGCTGATTAAAAAGTTATAATAAAACGAAAATAAAAATGTTTAATTAATATATCGTGAATTCGAAACTGCTTTATTTTGCGTTGAGCTTCGACGCGAATTTGCCGGAGGTAAAAGTTGTGCTGGACAGCGACCCCATAAGTGACGATCGTATAGATTCATTTTTTTAAATGTCGAATTTCGATAAACAAATGCCGAGAAACAAATGCACCAATTAGCTCCTTCAACGTAGTTATGAATTAATGCGAAACTTGATGAGCGGACAAACGTCAAAACGGTCATCACAGCTGTGTGACGTGACTGTACTTTAGGTAAAGTTATTCTATTATTAAGCAATCGTCAGTCGACAATTAATTGTGCATACCTACATATAACCGGGCACTGGTGCAGTGCACAGCGTCACATGTGTAAATATGGAGCCCTCCCGATGTTAATCTTCCCCATGGATTAATTTTATCGAATGCCAAATGAGCTATGACACCCATATAGGGGAATTGAAAGAACCCGCTCCATTTCATTTGCACTTCATATAAAATCTATTTTGAACATACAGAGTTGATAATTCTTTGGCAGTTTTTTCTATTTAAATTGGTAGGGTAATTGGTCCCCTCTTGGTGCATTGGCTTTTGAGCCCAATTTGTGAATGAAAGCACTCATTTGTTAGGTGATACGTATTTAGCGCTGTAAAGGATTAATATGGAGTTATTTATGAATCCGCTGTAGGTTGATTGAGGGGGACGATTCAAAGTTAAGCGATATTTTTTAAAATTATTGCAAGAATAATGTAAAGAAAACTACCGGAAAATTTGAAATAGTGACTGTAAAACCAGTTTAACACACGCAATGTCATAAACAAAGAACAAAAAACCAGTTACAATCATTGTAGCTGTCCCCTCATAAGCGCAAAACCTATTACGCTTTTGTGCTCGCATCGCGTCCATTAATCTCATTATTTTCACTTGATTTCATCGCCAACTTTCACCATTGCTCTACAGTAGCTCCCTCAAACTAGCAAGTCACTTAGCTTCTCCTCCATGTATCAGAATGCACAACTGTGAAGAGAGCTTTGCATTATCTTTCAAACAAAAATCGGTGTAATAATTTTTTTTTCAAACAAACATTAACTCTTGCGTAAGGATCTATTGTTTGCAGGAAAACAAATCAAACGGAGAAACACTTAAATTTGAAAGTTTCATTTAACACAAATGAAGCAAGGTTGCCCTTTGTGTTGCAAGCAAATGATCAGTCTGCCCCTGCAAATGGAACGTATCACTTAGTATAATATAATTTGGTCCCCCAGTATTAAACGCTTTCATGCTTATGATCTACGATTTGAGACAGTTCAGATTGAAAGGGAGACACTGATGGCATCCAATGTTATTGTTCTTTATGGATATCGACTTCCTTTTTGATTAAATAACTGTTTTATTGAGTACTTTGTATGCTGAATCTTTAATAAGGAATAAACAACTCTTACACTAGTAATACTATTGAATTTTAGTATCCAAATAAATTCAAAGAAACAATGTAAATTTTGCATTTTCATTATTATGTCTTTCGTCAAATGCGCTGGATAAGTAGAGCTAGTTCGCGTTAAACTGGCACTTTTCAAACAAATCTGAGTGTATAATTATGTGCAAATAAAAGTTTCCATAGGTCAAAATAAGAAGCGTGAAAGATTAATGACTAGGAAATTCAATTTCAGTGATTGTTAAAATTGGCTAAATGGTTGGATTTAGGAGGCAAATACGCGTGACCGCAGCGTGACAGAGTAAACGGCGTCGGACCCCAGGACTAAGCCACATGGAGGGCCTGGAGCCCCCGATGTTTAGCGCCCATTTAGCGAGGGGAAGCCATGTCACACCCTAATTAGTTTAAAATAAAAACCTATTCAGTTTATATCCAACATAGCATACCTAGTTCCAATGAAGCTTGAGACCGATAAAAAGTTACGAATTGCCTTCGATTTTTTTCATTTGTATACACTACCTCCTAAGCAAGTCCTACTACACGGTTTATCTGTAATGTAGCACTGTACTCGTCGACTTTTGTACAAAATAAAGTCAGTCTAATTTTGGATTCCTGTCAGTCTAGTGAGTGAGTCTTTGTGGCCAGTCAGTCCGCTGGTCATCCTTGGAGGCTGGATGCGACGTCGACAATGATCAATTTATAACTACAGGAGTCAATTTTCTGAATCCCAGGCATTTTTACCCACATATCTTTGTCACGGACTATAAGGAAACTAAGCACTTTCAAACCCCAAAAATTACAATGAACCTTTAAAGTCTCCTTTTTTATCACTGACTGAACCAAAAGTGTATATTTAAGTAATAGTCATACCTCATAATCGTACCTTACGTCTTCCATTTCAAAATTTTTAGAAGAAAGTTTGTCGCAGTTGGTTTATTGATTGCATGACTAAGTAAATCACTGACAAGTTTGTTCATAGTGAGTAAGGGATAAATACGCCTTCAGTTTTAAATGATATTAAACATACGATTATGGTAAAAAATCTTCAGCGACATAGTTGATACTGACAAAATTTAACGTTTTACATTTTTGATGGTAATCTGATTGAATTGCAATAATAATGCGGCATGAAAAACAAAATAGAATCCAGAGTCAATAGGTCCACATGTCAGCTGCGCTTAATCCCCAGTAATAGAGCGAATCGTTTGATTGCGCCGCGCGACTGCGTGACCAGCTAAGTGATTGACTTTTCAATCTGTGTAATCGGATTACAGCGCGAGGAGAGTGTCGCTTATTGGCGGCATTACCCTACTCGTCAATGTCCAACACTCTTGCTGTTAGTTAATTGTTTGTACCCTATTACTATGGTATAGCATTTATCATTCCTCACAATATCTTAACAGAATTAGTAAATAGTGTTTTGCATTGAACCTGGGATGCTTTTTTGTATCATTCATCATCAACTCATTTATATACCGAACTGCTGGGCACGGATCTCCTCTCATCCGAGGGTTTAGGCCATAGTCCGTCACGCTGGCCCAATGCGGGTCGGGGACTTCACACATTGTGAACATTCCTCGACGTGCAGGCCCACACGATGTTTTCCTTCACCGAAAAGCTCAGGGTAAATTTCAAATTAAATTTCGCATATAAATTCGGAGAACCTCAGAGGTGCGAGCCCAGATTTGAACCCACGGCCTCTGGATGAGAGGTAGTACAAAATCATACAAGATCCATGGGCATGACAATTCCGAACACACTTCAGACGCACCATACTGGCAACAATGGTGAATTTACTTCACTACTGATACAAGAGAAACAACCACAACGCACCAATATTCCTTGAAAAGCAAAAGAGAAATAAATTAAATTCTCTTACCTTAACTTGAGACTCGGTCATGCCAAGCGCATAGGCGAGCTTGGCTCTCTCGGGGCCGGCCAAGTACTTGGTCTGTTCGAAGGTCTTCTCCAGTGCGAAGATCTGTTGCCCGCTGAAGGTCGGTCTCGTGTGCTTCTTCTTGCCATCCTTATCTACGCCGCTCGCCTGCGCTGCGCAGGCGCTCAGGGCCCCGTTACTCACTGCAACAAAGACGTCTACTAAGTATATTATAACTACTAGGATTAAAATTTGTACTGTACATCCTATAAAATGAAGTAGTTCTGTAGATAAAGATTGTTTTCTGACCTACATCGATCATAACAAAAGTATAGATTTTGAAAAGGCTTCTAAAAATACTTTTACGCAGTATATTGCGTTAAGATAATATGATTAATCCAGTTTATTCCTAGATTGGGTTCAGAAGCACGCTTATGGTACTTATTTTTGCCATACGAATGCAATGAAATTCTGAAAACAATAAGAGCTTTCCGTGAGTGTAGGTGGTGTATGTAATATATTATGACGGCCGCTGCATCATCCCTTGATGACATCACACCTCCCCTCGGGTACACTCATGGAAAACGCGTATTCAATTTAATTGTATTTTATAGCTGTACCGTCAGCAAACTACTAACAAATACTCATATTGTTTAATTATTATGCATGCAAATTAAATATACTTTTGCAAATCGTGTTTAACTAATCGATCATTTATGAATTAACGCTTATTTGTGAGACTTTATTCGCTGATTGTGTGTATGTACGAGCGGGTACATCCATCGGATAAAGCAATTTAGTAGGACATAATAGCATAATACTTGTTGGCGCATCGATCGTGTGAGTAATTAACGGGTGATCGCTATCACCACGTAACGCAATCCAATCAGGTGCTATTTAGTCTGGTATATACTCTGTGGACTGTTTATTGGGACAAGTTACATAGTAACACATACATAATCGACTCGAAAGTGATTATTTCGAATTGTCATATTATTTTCCGTGATTAGTCGTTGGGTAATGAATTCATTATATTAAATAAAGCTGCTACAGAGACGATAACTGTGATCACAATAAGACGATCTTTCGATTTGGCTATCAAACAAGAATATATCTCGAATTTAACGGCTGACGCTCCTTTTGTCGTCGTGTCGACGTTTTTATCATTATTTTCATTTCATTTTTTCGCCCCCTCTCCCACTCTACGTCGAGCCTCCCCCCTCTCGTGGGAGCTTTATGTCGTCGACTGTACCGACGCCGCTTCATCAAAACATTTATACGCTGGGAAAAATATCACAACGGAATATGATGCGTTTTTTGTTTACTTTCATGGGTTTTTATTCGGAATGAAATAAATTTATTTTTAATCATGAGAATGTGGAATTAAGGATTTACATGGTTCCATGGAATTACGCAAATCAGTGAGATGATATGACCACGGATATTGTGCTTAGTGCCCTACACTGGTTTTATTTCTACCTATAGTATTGAAATAACAGTGACTTAAAAATTCTAGGCACGAGCATACAGCCTTCACATTATAAATCACTAATATTCTCCGACAAACTTGTAGTAAATAATAACAATATTTCCTACAAATCCAAGGCATAGGGTTAATGTTATTGTTTCATTAATATTAATATAAGCACAGTACCTATGGTTGTTATGCAGAGGTAGCTTATTTATGGCGTCTGTGCTGTATCTGCCTAATATTATGTAATGTATTGTTTTGTTATGAATTACGAGTTATTACTATGTGCATTATTATTCTTTATAAATATATGTATATCATAGAACCTTTAACCATAAGGGCAGAAAAATTGTTCTGAAAATGAATTTTGCGAAAAACCTGCTGCTCTATACGCTGCGGATTTGATTAAAGTGATGTTGAAAAATTAGAGTTTCTTTCTTTTACATGTGTAATCATGAATCCATTTTTTTTAATCTTTCTCCTTGTAAAATGCCATCTTTATTCTTCATTCTCCATGAGAAATGTATAGTGCAAATATTTTGATCTTACTTTATAATTGCTTTACTAAATGACTATTGGGTAGTTGTTTACCTTCAATAATGTTGAATTTTTAATCTCTAATATTCGATCATTGAGAAGGTCAACAATGCGTTCATGTTAATTTTATCGCTTCATATAAATGTCCGAGCTGCGGCCGAGATCGCGACCGCCACAATGTAGCTGAAACGACATCCTTTCGTTCACTGACCGCTCGCTCGTTCCTTTACAAACTTCTGAAATACGGCTGCCACTCTATAGACAATCTCAACTTTACTACCTAAAACTTACGGTCGTAATCTATTTGACGGAAATTGTTGCTATATGTAACACGGTTCAGGTGAATAGATGTTGTCAAAAGTAGACTCCACTGTACGGAGATAAGGGTTAAATTTGTTTGAGGGGATTTGTAGCGTAGTAGACTCCAGGACTAACTTTTGGTTCGGCAGCATTGCATTCATTTAGTAAACTGGTCACTATATACGGTGTTTGCGCTACGCCAGTATGCCGTGCAGGGCTTATTGCGAGCTAACTAATGTGAACAATGCTGCACCAATATATTTATTGGAGCAATAAATATGTTTGTGTCATTTCCCCGTGTGTGTATACTGCATTACGCATATAAATCTTAATATAATGCAACTAGGTATATTGTTTTCTAACAGGATCGAATTTCGCATTCAGGGGACATTATGTAATTACCTTTACTCGTAATTATTATTGTCAATTAATTCAATGGGCATTGTCGTTTTTACCCCAATTGTAGAGAAGAATATTATCAATTCAAAACATATTTATAAAGACATCTAATAGGTAAACCTATTTTGAAAGCGAATGTAAAGTAATCAGTAACATTTTTTATCAATGTCTTGTACATAGAAGTATGTTATAGTGAAGCATATTAAAGTGTGTGGTATTATAAAATGGCAATACCCCCGAAGTGTCCAGCATATTTTCCTCCCACACGGCGGCAACGGCTGGAGTTTTTGCCGCACCATATTGCAGCGGGCGCCCTCTGCGCGTCATGCATTATGCAACCAACTGTTTGTTAATATTGTATCTAGTCTGTCGCTCGCCACCTCTCGCTGGATTCTTCGTCACTCATAACTTGATGCCAACTACAAACAACTTCAATATTCACCCAATTTTATATAAAACGAACCAACCCACGCTGCGACTGCACATTTATACTTTTTAAGGATCAAATAAAATATCATTCTAACTTAAACGCAATGCCTAGTTCACCCGCGCTTTATAACATAATGTCAACTCTCTATTTCAATGTTCATTAAACGTGGAACAAACGCAAGCTTTTATTGCGCCAGATAATACTGGGGGACCCGAAAACTTCACGAATCTCATGACGACGTACAAAAACATTCAAAGTACTAAAACACCAAATAACAATTATACGTAACCCGAGCACAATTACCCAAATTGAAGCCGGCAAATCTGTGCACTTATTTAGCGAGGCATTCAGTATGCGGGCGACGGCACGCGGGCTCGCAGACCGCACAACCCCTTCGCCCCTGGGGACATCCCCCCTCGTACCCCGCACCCTCCTGCTCCCTGCTCTAACGTCCTCGTGTCTCAATTTGTAGGGGACTAACGAGGAGCGAACGGCGGGGGAGGCTTTAGACGTTAACGTGTGTACATATTCGTGAGGGTTTGTTTCTCCGATGCCTATTGGGACGTACCTGAATGCGATTGAAAAAATAAAGAAGACTACTTATGTCCTTTATTTTACATTATGTGGCAAAACTCTTATTGGAAATGAGTGTTGAACAAAAATATATATTTACTTTATGTTTATATTCATATATCTTTGCAAATCCCTTCTGGTATATTACAATGATTTGTGAATACATTTTTTTTACCAATTATAATTTAGCAATAGTATATAGAGATGCTGGTATTAAGAAATACCAGCTTAAAATATATTAATTACTTTAATGTTATAAATGTTAATGCTCCCCTTCCCAACTATGCAGAATAATCAGTGAACAATTAGTCAGCGCAATACGGCGTGAGACCAGGTGAATCACACAACACGTTCCACCGTGATAGCGACGTCACGTTCCATGCGTACGTGGAACTAATTCATCGCGTTGTCGACAACATTACAATACAAACACGCCAGTACACCGCACCGCACAAAATCTGCGCTCTATCATGTACAAATAAATCCTACTCTCATTTACCCTATCTCCCCACAAGGGGAAGTAGGGAGGAGCCCCGTAAACCTCCGCGATACTTCGCGATATTTACCGCGGTTTCTCGGCGCTCGACACACGCCCGCTAACTTGTACAGGAGTAATTGTAAAGGGGTACATGTCCCACCATTGAGTGTTAAAGTTCTTCCGTTACCATGTGGAAATGTATAAACATGAAGCAGTTTTAATTGTAACGGTACTTTCGGGAATTACTTGAGTGGAGGTAGTTTGAAATAATTGAGTTATTCAAGACATTGTTTGCGACGCCCGATTCGTCTGTAGAGACTTAGTTTCGAGTACACAATTTAGCTGAAATGTTTTCACGACCGCAAACTTCACTAAACTATTTTCATCAATAATTATTGTCTTAAAATAGAATAGTCTACGACATATCTCATCGAGTTTGAATTAAATTAATGTGAATTATTAATTTGAATATTTATTTGTGATAAACAGAAATATTTAATAGTTATATCATACCAATAGACCAGACACGTGTAGTATGTTTCTAATAAACGTAATTCAACACCCTATCAGTGCTCAGCATTCATAACACGCACTTGGAAAAGAATTGTAATAATCGTAGAGTACCTACATGCAATATCAGAGTGTGGTACATGTAATAAAGCGATACGGGGAGCGCCGGATGGCGCGACACGCGGCTCACCTGTCGGTGAAAATAACGACACTGTCTAGGCGTGCTGCACCGTTGTCTGATCGATACCCTTGTCTTACAAGTAATAAAACTTGTATTATGTTTATATAATACATATGCAGACATAAGTTTCAAATTTAGTATAAGGAATGTTTAGGGAAATCAAACATGTAGCACTGTCTTGTTGTTCTGAAAAGACATTGAATTTGGTTACAGTTTGTTGGTTGTAAATTTTTTCGGAATTTTTAATTGTTTTGTTGGTTTATTAATATAGATTGTTTTCTTCACATAATGTTGTTGACGTTTTGTTATCGGTAATTAAAATAAAATTTTGGTCATTCA